CATCCTAAAACAGAAATTTTGCCACCCTTACCAGGCAACCTAGATATGAAGGAAAAAACAGAACAAGCCCACCGGAAGCCATTGGCTCAACAAGCTTTAGACACCACTCGTTTGCTCCAACGAGTTCCCCCCTGCCCACTTGCCTTCTCGGCAGCCTTCACGGTTTTGCTCCCTGCCCTCTTTCCTTTGACCACCTCCTCCACCGGTTTTGCAACCTCCAAGATCTCTTTTCTCGCGAGATTTAGCTTCAGCTTTGGGAGTTTTGGAAGTAACGCTGTTGGCGCCGTTAATTCCGGATCGCCCATCTCGTTTTCAGACTCCAGAATTTTACCTGTCAGTGGCATGTTTTCGCCGTTGCCATTGCTTGCCTCGTTCTCTAAAATTGAAATAGAAGTTACTTCCTGTTGTGAGCCCCCCATCAGATCCAAATCCAATAGACAAAAGCCCGTACCTGTTGATTCCCCGCTGCTCAAATCAACACCAAGCGCCCCTGGTTTGACATCGTCGAGCTCAAACGCATCCGATTTCTCCAATAAATCCTTGATATTCCAAAACGGAACCTGGCCACTTGCTCGGGGATTGTCCTTTTTGATCTGCTTGATCTTCTCGCTGACAAATTTGGCCTCGCTGTCATTCCAAGCCCTTGAATACATGAGCCAGCTATTATGGGCCGCCGTGCCCCCTAGATCACTTGCAGTAGGGCTGGTCATCTGAGTGTAGCCGTCGTTCAGAAGATCATTGTGTAACCAAACCCCACTCCGACCACGAACGTTCCTCACAACCTTGCACCAATAGTGGCTGCCGTCCCAGTAACCTTGCGCCATGAGGGTGTACCGGACTTCTAGGATGTTGAGAGTAAATGGCCAGTCAGTCGAGGCCATGAATGCCTGTTGTTCATCCTCGTCGATAATTGAACCAACCTCAAGGTGAAAGTACAGATGGGCGGGCGGGGTCTTGTTCAAAAATTTCATCTGCGACCGCTCCTTCAAGAGAACATCCTTGTCACGGCTCCAAGATCCTGGTGGTGCCACTTCAACCGGGGAATCTTCCCGATCATCCTGCTGGGTTTCTGAAGTCTTTTGAACCGGATTACATGTTTTACAGCATAGGCCAGACCACCCGTTTAGGCCCGTGGTAGTCCACCGGCTCACCAGCGCAGCCACATTAGACACCACGAGGTCGTTGAATGCAAAGGAACGTTGACGGATGTTAATGACATGCAAAGCCCGGCAGACCTCCTGCGCCCCCACCTTGTGATGGTCGCAGGTCAGCTCTCGGACCTCTTCCAGTTCAAATAGACCTTTCAAGGCCCGATTGGGGTTTTCTTTGGTATCGATGATCAAATCCATGAAGAAGTCTGCTGATGCAAACTCTCCAGCCACAAAGCTGCCCGGACTCTTAGCGCTGGCCAGGTGAATTAAGGTCCCTTGAGCTTTTGAAAGAATCGAGCAAATCAATCCGGACTCAGTAAGTTCATAGGTTGATCTGGAAGTGAAATGCTTGACCACCGTGGTATAGATGGATGTGCCCTGCCCGCTGGAGCCTCGAAGCCAAAGTGGACTGAACAACGCGTAGAGGGATTCCAAAGTGGCAGCCATCCAGCAGCGATTCCTAAGATGGTCCTTCTTTGAGGCCTTATATGAGGCATAAGTACTGAAAGGGTTCCTGTTGATGTTGGGCGCACCCGAGGGCCGTCCGAGCTTCTTCTTCACAAGTTCTGGGAGGAGGGCCTTGGTCGTATCTGGTGCACGACCATCGTTTTTGTAATCGTGCCTTATCTTCTTCTCCGGACCCAGTGGGACAGCCTTTGGGGCCCGCTTACGAGACTTCTCCCATCCAATCGATTGAGACACATCAGTCTCTCCTTTCCGTTGCGACCCGTATTCGATGGAGACCCCGCACATGACAGCATCGAAGTCTTCTTCCAGACCTTCACAAATGAGAAGAGCTGTACCATGCCAACCAGCAAATTTGTTTTGCCAGAACTAAGCCAAGCAATCACGTCAGCATGCAGTGTAACAATCATATTTTCACTGTATCGTTGCAAACCTGATCATGTAGTACAAACGATGCAGACTTTCCTGCGCGTTGAAGGTGTTAGGTAGCGGATTGAGTCCTTTGGAGGCATCTTCATCCTGAGGCCAACGGGATGGAAAAAGCATAGCCTCAACGTCGGCCATTGTCCACCAGTCGATCCAGCGCTTAGCCTTGGGGAATTTTCAACGTAGTGCATCAATCTTCTCCTCATGAGTAGGATCACCGGCTTCAGGTTCCTTGATCAAGTCCATGCACATCTTCTGGAATATCTCCTGAGATAGGGTGTGTATCAGCCTGCTGTATTAACCCAAATCACCGAGACAAATCTCACCTCATCACCAGCCATTATGACGTTTCTGTTCACCCTTACACGAGTCACCTGAGCCCGGTAATGCTGGTGACAGCCTTGAAGCTTACCAAGGACCTGTTCTCGATCAAATATCCCAAACACCTCGCCGTATGCTTCAATAAATCCTTCCCTTTGTGCAAGCGAGAAGTCAACCACATTGCGAACAAGGATATCACGTTCAACTGCGGTGATTTTAGGCTTGACAAATTGCCGGAATAATATTGCGAAATGAGTCCGGTAGTAGCTAGTCGCGAGACCTTGGATCTATGTGAGTAACACTGGAACCCATCTCGTAATTTCTTCGACATACATCGAGGTGGACAATAAGTATCCATTCTCAAAGAAACGGTAAGTGACGTCGGAGACCAACCCGCCACTGTAGACTTGGTTGTCTAAGTTGCGAGCCAACAATTGTTTTGACATCCATTCCGTTTGGAATGTGAAATGCTCAAAACCATCTAGGAACAATGCCAAGGTGATCTGGAGGCCACGCCTAAGCAATACTACAGCCAGGTCAGTAAAAGGATATTGAGGCACGAAATTCAACACTTAACTTAGACCACATGAACATGTTGTTGATGAACTTGTCGCCCACACCAGCCCCTAGTTTCTTGGGTGTTGTGTTCATCTCTCGGAGCATAAGCTTCCGGTAGTATCTGAGGCGGTCGGCGTTCCGCAGAGCAGGGTGGATGGTCATCACGCTGTCAAAAGGATCTCGTGGGGCAATTGGTTCGCCCACCTGCGTTCAACAAATCTTGTCAATCCCACCGACAAGCGATCCATCTATGGCTTCACTGGGCACATACCTTCAGCGATAAAGCCCCCGCCTTGGGATTCTTCAAGATTTCGTTCTTGAGGGCCTCCTTGGCTAGTTTGTCAGGCTTCTTCGCCTCTGGCCATGGATGGCCATGTATACCCCTTTGTGCCTCAAGACAGCCCATCCGGTCGCAACGTGCTCGTCCACTTGGATGAGAGTGTTCTTGCATGCAAGGTGTCAAACGTTCCCAGGACACTTTCCGGCCGAGCCTTGGCAATGTGGGTACCTAAACCAAGCCTTTGCCAATGATAAGCCAACAGCCAAGGTAATACATAAGAAGATGAGGTACATAAGAAAACCCAGTGACAAACCTTTGGAGATACTCTGTCATGTCTCCGCGTCCTGTTGGTGGTGCGCCTGCCCACCTACATTCAGGCAAGTCACAGGCAAGTGTTCCAAGACAGTAGATCCGTGTTAGCTTCCAAATCCCCTTAGACCAATATTCGGATCCGGTTTGTTTTGCAAAGCCGGCATTTCCAAAGTTTGTAATCTTGGTTCCGCTTGGCTTGACAAATATTGTGTTTCCGTTTGGCAGGAGAGGGTAGCCTTCTGCATCCAAAGTGCAACCATGATCGATGAAGGTCTCTTCATTCATGGTGGGCAAAAAGAATACCTTGTTGTTCTGTTCTAGCCAAGGTATTACTGCGGTCTCGTCCGTAGATTTGGGCTTCCCACGAGATAACCGAGTTGATTTCAAGTTCACTGGGGTTTCAAACTCTTCGGATTCAGAGGATTCAGATAAGTAATCATCGCTGGGATTGTACCCATTGGTGTAATTTGTGGAGTTCATGCTGAAGGAGAGTCTGAGTCTGGTTGGAATGGGGGAAACGAGAGGGCGGATAGGGTGCAAAACTCTGGCTGAAGCCTAGGAAAATTCTTCCTCACCGGTTCTCATGTAATTGCCCTAACCATTTTTTGCAATGGGCTAAGCCTTGGTTGTTTGATACCCTGTATTTTTAGTCAAATACAGGATGAACTATCCTTTTGCGGTGTCTGATTACGGTGTGTGCAAATACAGGCAGGTAAAGTTGTTGGTGGAGGATCAGGGGGGGACATTATACAAGGCTTTGTTTGCGAGGCTTCTGATTACGAAGGCACCCTTGTCACTAGAGCCTTGTAAAAGTATTCCTCCCCGCATTCTTGCAGCACTTTTACAACCCATTGCATTTACAAGGCTTTTGGCTTGCAAAAGGAGACTTGTAAAATTCTCATACCCGTTATTTTATCCATTTTCTTACTGCTCAAAACCAACAACATTGGGATTTCCAAAATGAAATCAAATTTGGTTCTTTATAGATTTCCCAAAGACTGGGCAATATCAATGATAAATTTAAATGTACTTTGAAGTTTCAAAAACTCATAGGCAAAAAAAGCTTGATAAATAGTAAGTTTAAATTTCTCTTTTGAGGATTTTTATATACCAAAAAAGAATGTTCAATTTTAGAAGATTTTTAGCATATCTAGAACTTCCAAAAATGAATTACAAAGGCTGGGAAAAACTGGGTATAGAAGCAGAGAAGTGGGTGTGAAAAACCGGGTGTGGATAGCAGAAAAGGGGGGTATGTTTATTAATCCCCTTGTTTTTATACTATTTCTGTTTTTTGTACAAAAATTCCTCTCTCCATGTGTTTTTCAATTTGTGATTGGTTTGCCTAAGCCGTCATTATCATCTTCCTGCCCACACATCTTTATTCTTGATTTGTATTGTGACTTCCTTGGCCTTTATTATTTCCTCTTTCTTTTTTCCTATTATCATACTGCTCCACCTCTTCTGTACTGCCCTGGCTTCATTGCAATTTATTCACATGATATTGAGATTGGTCACACAACTTGGCTCAACGGGTGTATTGTTTGCAGGCATCAATCTACTCTTTTCATCAAGGTAAATTGTCTCCTCTGTACTATGTGAATATCAAGAACTAACCTCAAATCATGTGGACTTCGCATTATCAACCTATTTATGTTGAACAACCATAAAGTCATTGCCGTGGCATTGACCAGAGTCGCAGCTCTACTTTTGAAGGGGTGTCAGATGGCTCACTCGTGCTTCAATATTCCTGTCAAGTTTTCACCCGATTCATATTACAATTTCTCACACAAGGACAAGACGGGGCAAGACTTATTGGCTGTGGATTTAATCATATGGGATGAAGAATTAGCAATGCATAACCATGCTATTGAGACCATGGATTGGAGCCTTCAAGACCTGATGAAAACAGATCTAGCCTTTGGCGGTAAAACAATTATTTTTGCAGACAATTTCCACCAAACGTTACCTGTAGTTAAGCCTGGGGTATATCCTAGATCAGAACAAGCGAATATAAAATCTTCAATGATCTGGCTGATGATTAGAGCTTATAGACTTGAAGAAAACGTATGACTAGGCGTTGGAATCAATTCCAAAACTGAAGAGGAAATAAAGACTTTGCAAGCAAACTATTGGAAATAGGTGAGGGAAGAACGCAAGACACCAGTTCTGAAAGGATTAGGTTAAGAAATTTAGTCGTGGATCATCAGGAAAAAGTGATGGCCTGTTACAAAAAGGCCATGAACCATGTCTCCAGGGATTTAAGTTTGAATGTCAACCAAAATTACAATTTCTACGCTAAGTATTTGGGTGAAAGGGTGATTTTGACCACACTAAACAGAGACTCAGCTAAAATCAATAAAGATATGATAAGAAATCTTTATTCAGAGGCGATATTTTTGATTGAAATTGACAGGACCAATGACGGTGCAGAAGGGGAAATAGCTATAGAAGCGTTGAATCAATTAGACATCTCCGGCTTCCCAAACTATGAATTGGAGCTTAAGGTTGGGGCTCCCATAATGTTACTTCAAAATTTAGGAATCAAACAAGGACTATGCAATGGGACAAGGTTAGTTATTGAAAGGCTTAGTCAAAAGGCACTGTGTGGAAGAATTTTGAGTGGACCATCTAAAGGCAGAAGTGTTTTAATACCCAAGATTACATTACTTCATGAAAGCAAATTAACATTAAAAGTCAGGATGCAAGTGGGTCGGGTCGACCCGCCGGGTACCCGCGACCCGGCGGGTCACGGGGCGGGTTTGGGCAGGCTAGGATTGGAAATTGACCCGGCCCGGATTTAACCCGACGGGTCGGTGGGGCGGGTATGGTCAGGACGGAATGCATTCGGGTCGGCTTGAGATTGACCAAATTATGTACTTGATTAAAAAGAAAGTGATTTTTGCTGGGTTGACCCGGACCCAACCCGAGACCCGACCCGACCCGACCCAAGGCACTGTGTATTTGGGCCGGGTTTGGTCAACATTTTACAATTTTTGCCCCGAGGATTTGGCGGGGCGGGTTTGGTCACCGTTTTTTGACCCGAACCCGGCCCACTTGCATCCTGACATTTAAAAGTATCTTTCTACAGATATGAATTCCCTATGGCTTTGGCATTTTCCATGGCAATTAACAAATTTCAGGGACAAAGCATGGATTGTGTTGCATTAGTCTTGGAGAGTCAAACTTTTGTGCATGGTCAGTTGTATGTAGGCTTATCAATGGAAGGGCAAGTCCAAAATCTATTAGTTACCCAGGTTAGAGGAGAGGAGAAAGTAGTAAATGTGGTGAATAAACCTTTATTTACTCCAATTCATAACTTAGGGGTATGCATGGATTTAGATTAGTTTTTTGTCAAATAGTAAATACTATGAAATGTATATATCACTTTTAGAAATGAACTGGCGGCGAAGCCGCCCTTAGACACTAGTATTTTATACACCCAAAAAGAATGGTCAATTTTAGATGATTTTTAGTATATTTACAGGCCCAAAAAAATAAGCTAAAAAGGATGGGAAAACCTAGGGAAATCAAGGAGAACAGCAGGTGTGAAAAATTGGGTGTGAAGAGCGGAAAAAGGGGGTACATTTATTAATCCCCTTTATTTTTGTAGTAAATTTTGAAATATTTAAGTTTTCCAGCATGGCAGATAACCAATTCTGACTGCTGTAAATACCACACTTCTTTTTTTTTTCTGTCAGAACAACTGGCAAAAAAAGTTTATTAGCCACCCAACCTCCAAAAGCTTAGCAGAGCATGACCAAATTGGTGCATGCTTTGTGCAGAAAAGCTGTTGCAATTTTTGATTTAGGGGGGTGCAAAAAATGGTGATTGTGTTTGAAGTTTAAATCACCCCTATCACTTCAATCTGACCATGAGCAATGGGCACTGTCATATTGAAGGAACCAATGCATGTCATAAGAGGTTGGTTTGTAGATCAAGAAGCATAACAAGTCCTAATAGTTTAATACCAACCAAACCCACATCATGGATTAACAGGCTTGAACACTTGCCATGGAATCTCCATGAGTCCAGAGGATTGAGGATTCTTTGGGTTTTCAAATGTGGGATTTTTAGAACTATAACTTGGTGTTCACAGCTGTGCAGTTGAATTAAGGAGAACTAAATCTTGCTCAAGATTTCATTCCAGTTTTACTTTTGATTCAATAACTAATTACAAGTGATATCAGGCTGATTGCTTTGTTGAGTCTGTCTTAGACTATGAATATGTATTTTTTCATTCTACTCACCATACCCCTGTAGTCTAGTTGGGTACTTGTTGAATTCAGCACTCTTTCACCCCACAAAAAAACAGCCAAGTTTTCTGTTCAAACCCCACCAAGCTTCAATTCATCTTGCACAACCTCTTACGTGATGCGGTTCATCAACTTGATAGTCCCATTGGTGCTGGAATTGCTCATTGGTGTTTCAGCAAGCTTGCACAAGCCAAACTGTCCAAACAATGACATCATCTGGGAAGTTGAATCTTCAACTGGGACAGCTACCTTAATCTGTACTGGTTGTCGTCAGACAGGCGAGTCATTCAAACTTGCTCCCTGCTCCAAATCAAATTGTGGCGGTCAGACCCCAATTCCAATTTATGTGGATCGTGTATGCCATAATGAAATATGTAGGAATACAATTGAGCGAGGAATGCACACAGTGGCTTGCGCATTATGCTTCCATGAATATGTAGGATACTGGCTACCAAAGAGGAACTGCCCCAAATGTGGGATCGACCCGCCTCCCCGAAGGAAGTTCTATGACAAATGAAACTGAGATAGCTTCCTTCCTATCAAGAGAAATGAATGCATTCAAGGTTCAATCAAGCAGTTGTTTCTGAAGGCAAAAGCAAGTCAGAACAGAAAAACAAGAAGTCACACAAAATTTAAAATCCCTCAAAAAAATCAGAAAAAAAAGTAAAGCCATTAAAAAAGAAAATACAATAACCCATATAACCAAGTTTCAATCTTCTCCCTTCTCCCAAAAACAAAGATAAAAAAAATACTCCTTTGAACAGGATGTTGATCAATGGAAACCAGAAATCCTGCCACACACCTACATCCCAAACCCCCCACTCAAAAAAAAAAAAAAAAAAAAGTTGGTGTGTTTAGCCACACACCAACATTTTTAGCAAGTCCCCACCCAAACGAATCATTTTTATGATTTTAGTTTTCTTTGGGGACAGGAATACTCAAACATTTACCCTTAGGAGAGACCTTGTGAGAAGGCTCCAAGGTATTTTATGGCACCCTGAGGTGGTTGTTGGCGCCAGTGTGGTGCATGTCCAAAGTTTTGCAGGTCAAAAAGTGGAAGATTTATGATTTTGGATGGGTGCACCAAAGTGTGTGCACTGGCACAGACAACCAGATCAGTGGGGAGGGTGCAATTTGGCACTTGGGAAGGGGGATGGTACCAATAAAGATATTCAGGGTCTGAATCATTTTGGGGAAGCACATAGTACAACAAAGGTAATTTTTCAGGAATCAAGGAATCAAAAAAGAGTTTTTAGGGATGTGCCAACCAGCTTTGAAGCAAATTATAGAGGGTTTCTCTCCTTTTGAGATACCGAAACCTGTCAAAAACTTGCAAAAGTGGTGGTGGTGTCGCAGCTGTTGAATTTTTAAGACTCAGGCGCGTAAGAGGTGGAGGACCAAAAATGAGAGTATCTTATTTTTGGGAAAGGCTCACGGAGAAGGAATGAAAGAACCAATGAGTTTTTTATTCACTGTAGTTAAGCTAACTTAAGTAGACTAAATACAAGTGACCAACATGTGGTTGGGAGAAAATGAATAAAAAGATTTTTTAAATAAAAACTGAGAGGATTAAACAAATGAGTTCTTGAAAGAAATAACGTGACATGCCTTCTCAGTCTCTTTTAGTCATGCAAGAAAATTAATCAAGAGAAAACACAAGTTAAGCCACAAATATTGAGAGGCGTTAATTCTCAATAACCAGATTTTAAAGAATCAAATAGTGAGCCAGAAAAAGAAAGAAATCAATCAATAAGACTAGAGTTGTTTGAAAATTGCCATGGCGAGTTCTAATTAGACTACTATAGAGCATAAGATTCAAGACAGAAAACAGCTATGATTGACTATAATTCAGTCCAGGTCAAGATGATTCAAGAAAGAGAATAGGAGAAAAAATTAGGGGAAAGAGTAGCCAGAGAGTTGAAAACTCAACAGCAGCCTTTCAAAGACCATTATAGTTTGAAAAAGGGGGTTAACAATAGAGATGGCCCCTCATACTTGCATACTTGCAACAAGTACAAGTACTTGCATGAAAAATCGCAGATCTCAGACACCCATACTTGTACTTGTACTTGTGGGGGCAGGAAAAAGCAAGTACTTGCATACTTGTGGCAAGTACTTGCAAGTATGCAAGCTTATTTTGAGAGATAAAGGTAATAAATTTCTTGTGTTTTCATTTCATAGATTTGTATTTGTAAACTAAGTGAACTAAGTGATTGTAAATAGTAATAATAAGCCCTTCATTTTCTTCCAGATTTCTCCCTTGCTGCTTTCTTCTCATTCTTCTTATTTGCCTTCCATTTTCTCAAAATCCCCCTCTTGATCTTACCGTTTTTTGAGTAAAATGCCACACTCATCCCCCTAGTGACAGACTGTGCACTGAGCTTGTGCCTCCCAAGAGAAGCATATTCCTTACCAAAGCTAAAGGATTGCTCCACATCAATAGTTGTTGCTTCAGAATGTGCGGGAAAGTTGGTAAAAAATTAAACAAAATAATATTAATAATTTAGATAAAAAACACACCTGGATAAGTAAGCACATCAAGTGCCATCTGAAGTAAAGGTGTGCAGGTGCATACTTGCAACAAGTACAAGTACTTGCATGGAAATTCTCAGATCTCAGACACCTGCACTTGCACCCGTACCAGTAGGCAAGTACTTGTTGGAAGGCAACAAGTACTTGCCAACAAGTAGCAAGTACTTGCAAACAAGTACTTGGTGCCATCTCTAGTTAACAAGGAGCTGGTTTGATGAATTTACACCATGTGGTTTGACTACATTGTAGAGGTTTTGGAAACACCAAAAAATGTTCTTACAGATTATGGAACCCAATGATTGGTATAAAGTAATCATTACCAGCTGTACTGTTTGTTCTATCCAGTTCACAAGATATTTCACTGATCAGGTCCCCTGAAGCTCTAACTTATCCAAGTCCCACCCAGTTGCGGTTGGGCGTGCAGTGGTGAAGCACTGAACCCCGCCCGACCGCAGGGAGGGACTTATGCCTAAAGTGGGGGTACTCAACCAAGGCCATCCACCAAAAAATTGAAAAATCTAGTAATCAATTTTTACAGACTGTAGTTTCAACCCAACCGGGCCCAGCTACTGGAAGGTCGGATCTACTTAACTCCAACAATTTTTGGAGCTCATCAGCTACAAATTCTATTGAACCATTGATTTTTGAACAAATTTCGAATGCAACTTGGTTTTGACTATCTTAGCCTGCGAGGCTCAGGTGTTCCATGTAGCATCAAGATCTCCTTTGCGCTGTTTTGAGTTCGATGTTTTTGAAGACAACAATTTTTGCAAAACCGAGTTGAGGGAAGACAACATAAGGTGCAAGCGCATCTTTCCCTCTACAGAAAGACATGTGTAGCTCAAACAATGAGTGAGCTACAGACTGTGTAAGTCAAGGGTCAATTTTCAGATGCCCTCAGTCGAGGAGGGGCACTTTGGTCCTAAGTCCCTCCCTGCGGGAGGGGTGGCTTCGCCACCAGCCAGTGCTTCACACCAGCGAGCCTCCCACCAGGGGGGACTTTGTTAAGTTAGCCTGAAGCTTTTCTACATTTGCCAGCCCTCTGTTGATTGACATTAGGTGTTCCTTGAGGTCCAAGGAGGACTGTTTCAAGATAGATTCTCATCCATGGATCAATGCCCAAGGGTAACTTTGAAATTCCTTTTTTTTTTCAAATGATTGCCAAGTCTAGGTTCAACATATGTATACCAATAGAGAAAAAGAGATATGTTTATGCAAGCAAGACCAAAAAAATATCACCTTTTCTATTGTATTCTATCAAAAGATCTGTTTCCCCCTTTGACTGTTTTTTGTCATCAGTAAGAGAGGAAGAGTAAGTCTCTTCATCAACAAGAAAACAAAACAAAGAACAAGTAAAAAATGGAACAGAAAGGCTTGAGAAGAAGGGGTAGGAACAGAAGAATCTCCACTGAACCAAAAGAATATGGTGAGGGTATGGCAAATAGGGGGGTTGTAATTAGGTGAGAGATCTGGACAATGATTCAGTTCTAGTTTGCAACACCGGCTTTTGCGCCAAAGGCTCGAACAACATTCAGACCACTACTTTCAGTCAACTTCTTGGCCGCCGAATCGACCCCAGACAATGCACACATTGATTCCAACCTGGAAGGCTCCTTCAAACTAGCCTGGATTTTACCAATCAAGTCCAGATGGATCCATATTTTTTTTGTTTGAAGAGCAGAAGAAGAGAATTTGAGTAGTGCGAGAACAAAAACATCAGTTCAGTGATAAAGAGGTACGATTTGAGAAAAGAAGAGAATGGATTTAGACGAACCTCTTCAGCGGATGGTGGGAGAGGTGGAAGACCCTGTTGAGCACGTGTCTCGTTCTCGGCCTTACGTTTGTTGATGACTGATTCCAGACGAGCCCGATCACGAGCCAACTGACGGATCTGGAAGCTAAGGGTACTCAAGGCGGTGTTGTGGGTATCGATGCTAGCGATGGTGGCTGCGAGACTCTCGGATAAGGATAAGGGGGAATCGGCACAGCTCGACGAGGGCGTGCCGAGGGGTGAGTATGAGGGTAGGAAGTCGACCAATTTACACGTGCTACCCGTGCTCGTCTGACCCCATGAACCGTTCGATACCGAGCCGCTCTGTCCACCCGTCTTCGATGGGGCAATCAGAGTCGCTAAGAAGGCCGTCAAGAGTGCCGAGGATTGGATGTTCAACGGAATTTCTTGTAAGAAGTTTGAGGTTGTTAATTTGTGATTGGCAAGGCTGAATTGTGTTTGAAAGGAAGAAGATATAAGAATTAAGCCGCGGTACGTTGCATATTATCCGTTGAATCAGTACGAACTTTTGAGAGTCAAACTTCCCGCTCTTGTAGGTCTCGATGAATTCCTTGGAGAGTCTGTAGGCTTTCAGGTGAACAGTGCCTTCGGTAGCACTCGCGAGATCGTAAACGAGAGCGACTCCTTTGCCACCAGCGATCTTAGATCTAACACTTGTCACGGTTTTAGTCTTAGGATTAGCAGCAGGCGGGGCGCCAATTTGCATGGAGATCAGAGTTTCGATGAACCCGGGTGTGGCACAATGTTGGCCATTGACGGTCGAACAGTAGAATCCGACCACGTTGGCATCCGCACCCAATGCCGACAAACGAGGTAGGATTGAGGCAGTATACCGGGCAGCTGATGATACCAAATGTGAGAAAAACAGCTGAAATGAGTACACTTCCCAGGCACTGGAAAAAAAGACGAGTGTGAGATTTGACGTACTGCTCTTTTGACTGGCTTGTTTATCTTCGCCTTCTGCATTGCTTCCCAAGCTACCTGATGGTAGTGGGAAAGCATCACTAACGTTCAATACACCAGCGCTATCGATACCTAGGAGTTGACCAGAGGCGGGTGAGGTGGCACTTGACAGAGCGACTTCACGAGCATGTTTGATGATTTTCATGACAGCCTAAATTCATCCGAAAAAAAAAAACATGAGACCGATTTCATCAAGAAATAAAATCATGAGCAGATCTTTGAGAGGGAAAGAGCTAGATACCAGACTGTCGACTTTTAGGCTTTCGACCGGGAGTTCGGGCTCGAGTTCGGTTAGTTGTGAGGCCTGATTTGCTTGAGTTTTTGTTGCTGGAGCAGGAGTGGGCGAAGGGGCGCTCTGTCTGTTAGCATTAGAGGCCATGATGGCTGCAGCGGCGGTCATGGGTTTGGCGGACATGTTGATAAATCGGCAATCGATTGAAGTGAGTGAATGCTGATCGATCTATCGAATTTCGGTGAGTTGTGGTTGAGTTTGCTTCGATCACTGCCTGCTTGGACTTGGCTGGTCTTTTTTTTTTCCGAAGGGGGTGTTCGTGTCAGCGCCAGGGATTTGAAGTATCCACACCCACAGCACAGTTTCCTGATATCGGATCGATCATCGCACCGACGTCCTGAGCTTCACGCAAGTCCACCGGAGGGACTGATGTTGTGACACATCAAGAGCCCCCATGCAATGGCCATATCCCACAAAGATCATGAGAATTTGACAATTTTTTTGGGGGGCAAGAGGACTTGACTGTGATTCTGAGAAGTATCATGCTGTCTATTTCCCACTACAACTCAAACTGTAAATATATATTTCACCAGGAAAAATTTCCTTATGGCTGGGCACTCATCAGTAAAATTCTATGGAAAGTGGAAATTTGGCAAAAAAAAATTGGGGTTTGACTGGCTTAATTTTATCATCAGTAAACAAGGTCCCACACTCTCATTGGAACATGACAGTGGAGGACTTCCTGATGTGATTTAGAGTGCTTTTTAGACCTCTCTCAGTCTGAAATTAAGAAAGCAATTCCGATTCCAACAAGCTCATGTGAGAGCTATTGCCAGGAGGCTTCAGATCAAAAAAGATTTATTTTGATAAAAAGAATCAGATCTAGGGGGTGTAAAACAACTTCTGGGAGGGTCATAGATTGCGGTGGGAAGTTGTCCAGTATGTGAACAGTGCTAAAATCCACCAGATGACAGGCAGCATTGAACTCTACTACCACTTGACTGCAACAACCACAGTCTTGGTATTTGAAAGGGCTATGATGGTAGCCACCTGTAGAATTGATGGGAATATCACCTGTAATCATTACCTAGCAAGAAATTCCTTCTCCTGGGCTTTTGGTGTCCATCCTCAAAGTTGGAGAAAGGCACAATCTAAGTAAATTATCAGCAGGATAAGTCTGCATACATTTGCGCTCATGGTATCACCCCCTTGATGAGCCCACATGAAAGCTCTTCATATCTCAACACCAAACCTCATCTGAAATCCATCTTTTTTCCTTAATGAACCATATTTCGATTCTACTTTAATTCCTACCAAGGTATGATGATATGATCAATCATGACACCCTGAGGACCAGAGAATCTCTTGATCATCCCAACGATTAGATGGACCAAAAGGATTGATATGAGTCGTCATATTCATGTAAGGTGAATGATTATCTCATCTTGTCTTGAAGTGCAGATGGATTTGACATTGTGCACCACAGTAATACTATGATGGAGTAAGCTCACAATGAGTTGGTGATGTGAGAGAGAGAACCTTTACATTTACAGACAAGTTTTGCAACTTTTTTTCCCCCTTTTGACTGACTGATTTCTGAAGGTTATAACCTCTCTTCAAGGCTTGAGCAGGACATATTTCTGCACCTCTGAGGAGGGCCAGGGGAGTATCGACAGCAGGGGGCCAGCCAAACACAAGCCACATGACTTTATTTTGAACAAGCAAAAAAGGACTTGTGGTCCTACATGCACAAGCCAAGGTAACATAGGAGAACGGCTCGTCTCACTTTCCGATCCAGTTTTTTTCTAGCACAAGGCCTTTTGGCTTGGCGGTAGTATGCTTTGCGTAAGTCTTACCGAAGGGCATCAGCTTAGCAGGTGGCTAACAGCCTTGTGAAGACAAGTGGCTCTCAGCCCCACAACCCAGGGGGAGGGGCTGTTTAAGCCAGCTGACCCAGGGGACTTCAGGGCACTGGGGTCCACATAAACAGTAAACAAATGAAAATTTCATTTTTCTGCACATGATCTCGCATTCTTGTGTCACAAGGTATGTACTTGTGATTCCTAAGAATCAATCAATCCAAGAGGATCCGAACGGAAGGAATGTTGGGCGTCTCGTAAGTTTTAGTGAGTTTCTTCCAAGTAGTTGCCCAAAAAACGACTACTCCAGACAAACTACACTTTTTCGGTTTACAATTGCGATGTAAATGTTGATGATGTTTTTTGTTTTGTTTTGTTTTTTCAAGTTTTGCAGGCTTACAGAGTCAACTAAGGGGAGGGAAGGGAATCAAGCCGCGGATGGTAATAAGAAGGGTGGTGTGGGGGGAGTAAGAGGTATTTACAACACAGGGGATAACACTAAATCGGCTGGGTTCAAAGGTACAGTTACAACCCTCATGGTCTAGGAACACGGAACAAACATACACGTCAGCTTTTGTGCGTGATCGGGGGAAAGGCGCACCAGGTCTGTGAGGAGAGGGATTGGAACTGACATTGGTGTGGGTACTACCAGATCTCCACCCTTGAACGGCAACGACGGTGTCACCTTGCTTGACAATACCAAGCTCCAGGGCACGAGAAAGTCCGAACTTGATCCGGTTGTCTACATCTGCTTGCCATCCGGCAGCGTTAGTGGGTCGTGGCGAGGCAAAGTAGAATGGATAACAACCACGATGCAAGTGGATTTGACGGGCAGTCTGAGCATTTCTAGTTAGGGTAAGGATAGGACATGCTGGGCGGTATTTGGAGACTAATCTGGCCGTGCTTCCGCTGTGAATCAGATTCAAATCGAGTCAATAATCAGTTCTGCTTGCAACATGAAACTGATAGAGACGAGAACCTACGAAGTAGACATGACGATGATTGCCCCTGCGTTTTGCTCGAGGGCGGCAGCGACGGCAGCCATAGCTACAGTCTCGGTGGTAGATGTTGGCTTGGGCTGGAGCATGCGAAGCTCGTTGAACAAGGGAGGATAGCAGATCGAGGATTCGGCTAAAAAACAGGTTTCGGCCATCATGGCGACTGCTAACTCGGGGTATGATCCTTTAGCGGTCTCTCCTGACAACATCACACAGTCGGCACCATCGAGAACCGCGTTTGCAACATCTGAAACCTCGGCTCGAGTTGGGCGAGGGTTGTACTGCAAAAGAGAAAACATAAATCTTAGTCTCCGTTGTCTTTTCGATAAAAAATGGGAGGAAGGAAAGGGCTCACAGTCATGGATTCCAACATCTGAGTGGCACAGATGCAAGGTTTTCCGGCTAGATTACATTTAGCAATCATCATTTTCTGAGCCATAAAGACTTGACTGGCAGGAATTTCGATTCCAAGGTCACCACGAGCAACCATGACACCGTCAGTTTCGACCAAGATTTCGTCAAAATTCGCGCAACCTTGCAAGTTCTCGATCTTGACGATGATCTTGATGCTCTGGCCATCCGGACCAAGGGTCTCGCGGATGTCACGGACGTCTTGGGCTCGACGAATGAAGGAGGCAAAGATCATATCGACGCCATTCTTGACACCAAACCGCAAGTCATCCTTGTCCTTTTGGGATAGGGCTGGTAGGTCGACATCAGTCCCGGGTAGGTTGACACCTTTCTTGGATGATAAAACACCATCGTTGACTGCTTCAACCTCGATAAAAGCTCCGTTGGGGTCCTTCTCTAGCACCTGGAAGGGAGAAGAGGAGAAATCAGCTTGACCTTGTCGGCGGGGCTAAGAAAATGATAAGAGAGAGTCAACAGGACAACATACCTTAAAGCTCAAGATACCATCATCGACGTAGATTGGTTTGTCGAGTGAGATGATTGTGGGCAAGTTGGTGTAGTCGACATACATGACTTTGTCGTCACATTTTTCAGCATAGGCTGGGTCAACGGTCATCCTCATTCGGTGACCAGCTTTGATTTTGATCTAGAGAAACATGACCGATTGGAGAGGATGTAAGTTAGGGTATTGCTCGAGCAAGATGTATCAGATTGCGGAGGGGAAAGGGGGTGATTACATCGACACCATCGGCCATCAAACCGGTTCTAATCTCCGGCCCTTTGGTGTCGAGTGCGATGGCCAGCGGTCTCCCGGGTTCAGCTAGAGAAGTAAGGGCGAGGTCAGTCTTGAGTTGAAAACAAAAACTTCGTCTTTAATTGAAGAACAGCATCATGAATACGGAAAGGACAATCACCTGCTTCGGCGGCACGAGCGTTGTCGATGACACTTTGATGATACTCATAAGAGCCATGTGAAAAATTCATTCGAACTTGTCAAATCAAAACCAGAAGGAAGAGTCAGCATTTTTGAGGATGAAATCATGTGGGTGGTAATATTTTTTTTCTTTTTTTTTCTTGGAGATGAACTGATGATTACCAATGTTCAGTCCTTGAGCTCTGAGCTTGTTGATCATTTCAGGTGAATTAGTCTTCGGGCCAATCGTACCAATGATCGCAGTCTGCAATTGGGTTTTGTTTTTTTCGATCGGTGGGGGGGAGGCAGGTGAAAAAAAAAAGATGCAAAGGAAAAAAAAAAAAAAAAAACATCAGCTCCACTAAAAACATCGGACCGAATCGGGATCAGATTGAGTCGAGAAACCTGAAGGAGTGTTTGGATAAGACCGAAGATGGTTATTAACCTTTCTGAGATTGCTGGCATTCAACTGATGGGGCGCTCTGGGTGGGATCTGTAAGCCGGCGATCCATTCCAATTGGCTTTTGTTCTGGTTTAGCAGGAGAGAAGGTTGCTTTGCTGGGTTAGTGATCCGCGTCATGGTTGTTTGGCAAGGATGGTTTGGATGTCAGGTGGATTGAACCTACGGTGGCTTCTAATAAACTCATGGCTGGAGAGTCTAGTGTTGGTAGGATTGATATAGCACGGCAGTCAAGCAGAGATCGATCGATGGGTTGGATGGAAGAGTAGCAGGAAGGATATACGCAAGGAGAGTATGCAGTACAAGAGCAGGGTAAATTCTCGGTGGATGGCTTTTCAAGCTGGGGGGAGAAGCGCCTCGGGGAAAGTCGATGGTATAATATGTATGTATGTAGTGGCAGTGTGTGTGGTTTGAGGCTTCACCGGGACGAAGGCAAACTCGGGATGGATTGGTATTTGAGTTGGGAATAGGGGGAAGAAAGGGAGGAAGGAACCGGAACACACTCACCACCCACCTTTTATCCCTCAATGACTCATGTCTTGTTGCCAAGTCAAACTCGAAAAAAACGAAAGTGGCATGACATCCCCATCTTCTCAAATACATAAAAAATAAGCTTATGTACTCCCTCACGACGATATGTACGAAAGTTCTACACCCTCTCCGTGGAGAGACTTGTGCCACCTACCAACAACTGAACACTGTCGCTCGAAGCTATAACGTGCCGAGCAGACCATCCTCCTGCCACCGGCCTACCGAATCCACTGCCACCTCAATGCCCGGACATATAACCAAATTTCGACTCAGATCCTCCCAGCTCCGCGCAAGGAATAAATCTTCTCAAAATCGATTCCCTGTTGATGGTATCAGGAGTTACATCAGCATATATTAATGTAGATCAAATCGGATCGAATGTGCAGGGTTTTGGGGGAGTTCCTTTTTTTTAAAAAAAAAAAAAACGAATCTGATTGGGGCAGATTGTACTGCTCTAAAATACTCAGATCAAGGTCAGCCAGGCCCCTTGAACCAGCGATGTTGGTTGTAAATAAAAATAAAAAAGGGTACAAATTTGTTGACAATACTTTTACAGCTCGTTGGTATCGTTCCAGGTCTGAATTGATTTGATAATAGTCCAAGAAACGAAGCCGTCAGCAACAAAGCACAAGCTTGGTGAACAGAGGAAGTCGTATTGGAAGCCAAGATAAGTTGGAACTTGACATCCGAACATAACTTGCTAGAATGATTAAACGGGCCAGTTGAGTGGGGTGCTTTTTGAAGGTACATAAAAAGCGTCGCTCAAGAACATAATGATTCATTTGTCTCATGGATGCCATCCATCCCATCAAGAAAGTCAAATCCCAACCTTCAAGATAGTTAAGAACCAGAAGGATTTTCTTGATTGATCAATTTTTATTCTCTGTTTTCAAACATCATTGCTTGAAAAATTCAACCAAAAAGAAACATTGATGCAGTTGAATTGGCCATGTCTAGTGGAGCCTCAGAAGTCACATTTCAGAGCTGCAGAAGAAGAGAGGTGTTGCACTAGGGTCTCAATATCATGGTGGACTGATTCAATCCAGAGTGTTTCCTACATAGTCAACTTCAAGTCTTTTCTTCACAAAATCAGATCTGGTTTTGTCCTTTGTGTCTTGAAGCAACTGCAAGAAAAGAGTGTAGGATTCCCAACAAACAATTTTTTGGATGATTTCATGAGCAAGTTATTGATAGATATCAATTTTGACAAACATGATTATGAGGTTGAGCCAACACTTGATCTGCTGACCACACCTAGCAACAATGTAACCAATCCAATCCGATACGGCATTGGCCAATTTATTGGATCAGACCGATTTTTCAATACCAGGTATCAAAAAACAGGGGATTGGATTGCCCTAGCAAACGGATACTGGGGTATTGGATCACATCACAATCCCAATCCAACACCCAAAATCTGTGGGGTGCAACTATCATCAACAGTGTAACCAATCCGATCCCTGGATTGGTATTTATTGGGCATTGGATCAAAATGAGTCCCAATACCAAGTATCAGGATTGATTGCTCTACACAATCCCAGTTCCCTAATAAATTGAGATCGGATCAGAGATCGATCCAATCCCAATACCCAGTATACTATTGGGGCTCATTTCAATCTGTGTTGAGAGTAACTACGGTGACATGAGAGCTAAGAGAGATGACAAGATGTCAAGGACATAGTCTGGGGACATTGAGTCAAGTTATAATATTCATTCAGTGAGGAAGTGGAATCACCAAGGACACAACTAGGCTATATAAATGTACAATATAGGCTAAGTTGTGGGTGTATAGGTTAGAAGCATACAACATAGGGAAATGCTAATAAACTATCTCAACAATCTGATCCCCAATAAATACCAATCAGTTACATTGTTGCACCTAGGATGCACACCCACGTAGGCTGATACCAGTTTTCACTGTGGATCCCACAAGTGGCACCCGCAGGAGGTTGGACTGTGACCTGGCAGCAACGGTGCAACAAGTCCTATACATGTATTGTATTGGCATATACAGTGTATTGCACTTTTTCAGAAGTACAAGTATTTCAAATTACATGTATTCCATCAGCTAGCAAATACAATACAAATACATTGTATTCATTCATTTTCTAGCCAATACAATACAAATACATTGTATCCGTTTTTCAGCCAATACAATAAAAATACAGTATTGGTTGTACCTCCGTTTTTTTTTCTCTTTTTTTCTCTTTTTTTCTCTTTTTTTCTCTTTTTTTCTCTTTTTTTCTCTTTTTTTCTCTTTTTTCTCTTTTTTTTCTCTCTTTTTTTCTCTTTTTTTTTCTCTTTTTTTTCTCTTTTTTTCTCTTTTTTTCTCTTTTTTTCTCTTTTCTCTTTTTTCTTTTTTCTTTCTTTCTTTTTCATTTCTTTTTTCATTGTTTTTTCATTTTTTTCATTTTTTTTCATTTTTTTTCATTTTTTTCCATTTTTTTTTTCAATTTTTTTGTTGATTTTTTTCCCTTTGAATACATGGGGTGTATTGCAGCGGACCTGCAATACATTTATTTGTATTGTACTCTGAGTGCAATACATAAAAAATACACCTGTATCGCAACGGACCTGCAATACATTTATTTGTATTGTACTCTGAGTGCAATACATAAAAAGATACGCCTGTATTGCAGCGGCCTTCTGCTGCAATACAAATACATGTATTGCCTATACATTTTGGTGCAATACACACACACTAGAAATACATGTATAGAAATTCTTGCACCATTGCTGGCAGTCCACATTTTCCTGCTAGCTTAACACATGTACCACCTTCATTTACTTGCAAAGCAAGCCTCCAAAGTAGAGGCTTGGTAGTAAAGTTAACTTTTTTTGGCCTGAGACAACAATGTAACCAATCAAATGCCTGGATGGGTATTTATTGGGGATCAGATCAAAATGATCCCCAATACTGTGTATTGGGATCAGATCAATCTCCAATACAATCCCAATTTATTGGAGAACTGGGATTGCATAGAGCAATCCAATCTCAATACCTGGTATTGGGGCTCATTTTGATCCAATATCCAATAAATACTGATCCGGGGATTGGATTGGTTACACTGTTGATGGTGCAAAAACATGAGACACGTGATTGGATTGTTTACACTGTTGATGATATGAAAGCATGAGACACGCAGCCCACAGCTTTTGGGTGTCAGATTGGGATCACATTGTGATCCCAATCCCAATCCAATACCCTGGGATTGGATTGCTAGGGCAATCCCAATCCAAATCCAATACCCAGGGATCAGATTTCTAGGGTGATCCAATCCTTCATTTTTCAATACCTGGTATCAAAAAATTGATCTGATCTGATAAATTGGCCGGTACCATATTGGATCGGATTGGATTCAGTGTTGCCTGTTTTGGTGGGGGAAATTGCCCTATGCTTCCCCCCCCCCCATCTTCCTCTCACAAATACAGCCAACCTGTTGGACCATTAAAGCCAGACAGATCTTGCCTACGTCCACCCATCAAAAGATGGGACTCTTTTTGCATTTTGAACACATTTAAAATCCCTTTTTAATCTCATGAATCCTTGGATTTGGGCCATCTGTATTCCTCAATACATTATACATCCACATACAGATGACCCAGGCTCATGAAATCATGGACTTTGCTAGGCTTTTTGAATGTGCTCAAAATAAAAGAAGAGACCCATCCTCTATCAGTATGAGATGGTAGGCAAGATAAACCCAGTCCTAATGATCAAACAGGCAGGCCACATGTGTGAGAGGAAGATGGGGGGAAGTGTAGGGCGATTCCCCCCCCCCCCCACAAAAACATCAAAAGCTCTCAGACCAGAAAGTTGACTTGACTCCCAATCTCCTCCTTTGGAGACTTTCTTTGCAAGTCAATTCAGGTGGGGCTTGTGTTAAGCTGGAGTTTTCTGTGGGCTCCATCCACCCATCCACTGCGCCACTCCGGGGATGTCCCAAGGAGTTCACAAGGAAGCTAATGGGGCCACGGTTAAAGAGATTGTGCATCCCCAAAAAGGAGGGAAAGTGGAATCAAACCCCAGAAGCAGACCAAGATTGAAAATCCAAGTCTCCAAGAGGATTCTTGACTGTTGGTCTGCTTGCACTTGAGTGATGCGGCATGCCCCTCCCTCTGAGACCAGATCAACTGGGAGTGATTGTTTCCGCATTAATTTTACTCTCAAACAAAAAAAATGTTGAAGTTTTTTTTCCAACACTTGTTTTTCTTGAATTTTAAATTTTGAAGGCCCATATCAGTGGGTCTTGGTTGTAGGTGGAATGAAGTTTGGGTGCCATGGAACCAACATGGGCAACAAACCCATGTGTTCCCAAAGAACTTGAATGTGGCAACACTGGGCCGCTATGCAGCCCGCTAACATTAGCATAGCAGGCCTCAAAACGGTGCACCAAACCTGCAGTGTTAGCGTGCTGTGCTACAGCGCTCTTAGTGGCAAAAAAGGCCCAAAAACCACTAAAATGCACTGTAGTGGGCCCTTTTTGGCTGTCCACATGTGTAGCATTAGTGCATTTGTGGTGGAATTCAGCTGGCTAATTCCCATGTGTGATACCCGCAGAGGGATGAAAATTGAGTTGGCTGAGGTGAGGCATGACCTGTTTGACCTGGAACTGAGGAGAGGTTTTCACTGACAAGGAACTCTGGTTGAACCAACC